CCACAGCTTTTCCTGGAAAAAGCATCCGAAGAAGTGGGCTATAGTCCACGAAAGCTTATGCTCTAATAAATTTGTTAGTCTCTAAGGTGCCACAAGTCCTCCTGTTCAGCTTTTCCTGGGTGCATTTCCTGACTGATTACAGGTAATATCTCACCCTCAAAGATATTCCAAGCATCTGCCTGAAGATATGAATATCAGGAACCACAGCTTTTCCTGGAAAAAGCATCCGAAGAAGTGGGCTATAGTCCACGAAAGCTTATGCTCTAATAAATTTGTTAGTCTCTAAGGTGCCACAAGTCCTCCTGTTCAGCTTTTCCTGGGTGCATTTCCTGACAAACCTGATAGTGAATTGACATAGTACATGCATCCAGTAACCAATACAATGATGTGACCAAGAAACAGCATTCATAAATTATCACAGGCAGCTCCAAATCCATCACAGCCCCTTTTAGTGGTATTATTATTGATTCCATATTATACATTTCTATCAGAAGCACAGAGTGCTGTCCAATCTCAAGATTTTTATTATGACTCTTGTGATAGTGTTTTTCTTAATGCCCCAGCTCTAGAAGTTCTGTGATTATATGAGACTCTCAGCTTTCACTTAAAAAAAAAAAAGGAGGTAAGTTTCAAACCCTCCTTGTTGCAGGAAAGCATGAACCCTGAATACCAGAAGGCAAATAAAAATAACACCAAAACCATTATTTTTAAAAATCTTATAATTTGGAAACTCATGATTTTTTTTTCCTGAACCAAATCCAAGGACTTTGAATTCTTGGGGTTGGCCACATTTCTTGTACTATATAAGGAGGTATTCAGCGGACTAAGTGATGCTGCTGCTGACCGCTGAGTAACCTGGCCTCTGTATCTGAAAGGGTCTCCTCCATCATGTCTGAATGGGCATAAATGAGTTCTCCCATTTCTGCTTTTAACCTAATATCTGTAAGAACCTTTTTTTATTGCTAAAGGTATAACTGGTGTTTTAATGGATCAGAATATCAACTTTCCGAGACCTAATGATCCCATACAGCTAAAATGCACATGATTAAATTAGGAGCTTAATTTAACTACACCTCGGTGTCAGGCTTTGCAAAACAGTCACACTAAATTGCATCAAATAGCTAATGTAATCCATACCAGCTGATCTGGGATGTGACATCCTCAAGCAGCATCCATTAATTTTTCAATGAAATCCTCCGATTGTGTTGTAATTCACATATTTGTAGATCAGAGATGGGAAAGGCCTATCTTTAAATTTAATCTAATCTATCCCCCTCCCAATGTGTTTTTTTTCTTTACTGTGTATTTTTCAGTGCTTTGACCAACCTTCTTTTAAATGTTCCAATATTAATTAGAATTCCATCAACATGATTACAGAATAGTGGGCCAGCTGTTCGGCTCGTATTGAACTGAAGTCATTTGAGCTATACCGGTTTCCATCAGCTGAGGATCTGGTCCTCTGTAAAAGGGCTATGTTTCTCTTACAATGTAAAGGAAAAAAAGGCACTTTAGACTTAGCATTAACTGACTCTTTGCTTTCTAAAATCCAATATTATCGCATCAGCAGCTGGACTACTTCACTTCCATTTCCTCTCTGTTCCAGACATCTTTCTGAGACTCTCCGGCCATTACAAAACTTGTAAGCAAACAGATGGGCGGCTCCAAAGAAAAATCCCCAGAGATCTCTCCAGATCCCAGAGGTAGAGGTTTAAACCTGACTCCATGCACAGCTAGCAGGGTGCAACGTATCATCATCAGCACAGAGCTTGTCAGGTGTAGTTCAGGCCCTACTAAGTCCGGTTTCCTGGCTTTATTCACGACTTTAATGGACACCACGTAGCGCAGTTTATATTTGGCTTGTCCCCTTACTTACAGGCACTTTTACTTCATAGAGCTAAGAGATATTTTGGTAAACCCTTTAAGTAGAGCCTGAAAGTATAGCTTGGGCCTTTGTACTTGTAAGTCTATGCAGAGAATCCTAAGCTTGTTATTAGTATAATAGTCCTGACAGCAATAAAGCCTCCCACCTGCTCCTCTGTGGAAGGATGCATTGGCTCAGTAACAATTAGCATCAATTATGGCAGAGCTCATTGAGAACTGCAGGCCAAGCCCTCTTAGACTGCAGGTGCAAGATTATCCCCATGACCTTTTAGTACAGAGCACACACTGATGATGAGAGAGGGAGGCAGTCAGAAGGAAGTCTCATGCCCGTTCATCTTCTTTAAGAATTATCAGCAAGCATTAGCTATTTATGTCAGCTCCCGAGTACTGAGATTAGCTCCAGGAAGCCACATGGAAAGCAAACTATCTCTTCTAGGCTCTCATTTGCTCTGCTGGGTACTCCTATGTTCGTACATCCTTTTATTTCTGACAATCTGCATTCTTGCTGCAGAAGAAAGCAAATTCATAATGTTATCAGTGAATGAAAACAGGATAAAAAAGCCCCACAATTGACTGACTGAGTGGCAGGCAATGACATGCACATAATATGTGCTTTTAGGTGCAAATGCGATCCCAATTCTTGTTTTAGTTTCAATGTGTGCTGACTAGCAGTCACTCATGAAGTGGGGTAACACAGCACTAGAGATACCACAAATGACATAGGTAATAGGCAGGTATTGCACTGTAATTATGGGTAGATTATATGATAGTCCAAGCAGCTGCCTTTCTAACAAAAACTGAATTACAGCACAAGGCAAGTTTTTTGACAATAGTATGTGTAATTTTTTTTCAAAGAACAAAATATGTGAGTTTTTCCTTTAAGTTTAAATCTTATTCATTATTAATTAAGCCTCTGAAATAATGACAAATGGCAGGAGTCAATAATACTTCACATATTATATTATGTATGTAAAAACATAGTATCAGTCCCTGTGCAAAAAAGGCCACAAAAGAAAAAAATCAAATAAACCCACGAGAGATGGATCAAAAAATAACATGGCAATTTTAAGCTAACAGTTATCAAAAAGAACAGCAGAGAAAGAAGAATGGTATGGAAAGAAAACAATAAAGTACCCTAAATCTCTATCAATATTCAGAGAGCAATGGCTGAGCAGGAATTTCAGCATCTGAATCCCTTTCAGAAAAAATATTCTGGTTTTAATATCCTTAACGTGATGCAACATGTTATTAGCTTTAATTAGCATAATCAAAGAAAATACAGTTATTGCCAAGGATTTCAAAAGTGACCGGTGATTTTGGGTGCCTCAGTTCTGGGGTGCTCTGCCTAAGACACCTTAGAGGGCAGGGTTGGCCAAACTGTGGCTCATGAGCTGCACGCAGTTCTTTTACAGTTAAAGTGTGGCTCACGGGGCCCCACATACCCTCCCCCCCATTCTCCTCCTACCAGATTGGGGAGGGGGAGCTCAAGGCTTCTGCCTTGCAGCAGGGTTGAGACTAGGGGCTTCTGCCCTCCAGGGGCGCACTGGGGCAGAAGTCCCATGCCCCAGCAGGTGCCACCCCATGAGGCAGGTTGTACATGTCTTGAGGCTCTAAAACTTCTGAAGATTATTGTATGTGGCTCAGAGGGTCAATAAGTTTGGCCACTCCTGTTATAGGGATTTGGTTTTCAAAAAGTGCTGAGCACTTATTTCTGGAAATCAGACCCTTTTAAGAGGTCCCAAGTTGAACAATTCAAAATTGAGGCACTGGATAACACTAGTCACCTTTGAGCGGCCCATAAATTTTTAACCTATGTTTTTAACTGAAGTTTGGTGGGAAATAACACTGTGGTCTGGAAACTGAGAGAGGTGAAATTTAAGTATAAGATAAGTGCCTTTGAACATCTGTTATGATTTATTGCGGAAAAATCGGGGATAATTGAAATTTTAGTCTTCCAAAACTGTAAAC